AAAAATCTGAAAACCAGCGGTTGAAAGGAAAAAAGTTGCTAAAAAGCTGAAAACGTTATTGATGAAAAATTAGATTTCATTTGTTGAAAAAATGCGATTTAGTGAGCAAATTGTAAATTTCTTCTTAATTTCTTATTCTGAACTGCGTAGAGTCTAGGCTAGATCTCAACCGCTGGTTCAACCGCTCCCGCTGAGTTTTTTTCTCCAAAGTATATATCATTCGGATTATCCAAATTTTCAAAAAATCCAATTTTGTTAGAGACAAATTTTCAAAAATTCGATTGACCATAAATCTTCCCTGGGGTCACGTGAGGTCCCACAAAAAATTTGTGCCCGATCGGTTTAGCCGTTTTGACGTTAATTGGATTCAAACAAACAAACAGACGGACAAGCAAAGTATATATAGTATATAAATATATGTATATAGTATTTTCAACTTTTTCAGTTTAAATATACATTTTAGATGTTTAAATATATATTTCTTCCAAGACAAAATGTTTCATGGGTCTAACCCAATCATCAGTTGGAATAAAACTGATACTGGAGCATTTTTTACAATGATTTTACGGATTTTTGCAGAATATGATAAAAATAGTTTTACACATTTAAAATGATACAGATTGTTTTACTTAAAAAAATCTTTTTGGAAAAAATCTTTTTGAAAAAAAATCTTCTTTAAATGGCAGTTCATAAGTTTCTTCTCTTGTTTACTTCTCCTCAGGTCTTGTAACATTTACTAAGTAGGAATTTCTCTCGGTGCCTGCACTTGTTCATTACTTCGCTTCTTTTATTCAATAGGTTTACATCCTCAGATAACAATATAAAAGTTTTTTCCATCAGACAGAGATTGCACGTTTTTGCGACAGGATTATATGGTTTCGCTTTACTAACTATTGACCAGGATATTGTAAATGGTTCGTTTATCTTCTTTAGGCCCCAGATATGTTTGGATAAACTAGTATTACATTCATATTTAAGATTATTAAAGGATAACTTGTGATTAGTATATCTCTCCTTGAACGAATTTGCAGCTATACCTATATACCTTGCAGTCATCCCTGTTGACATCACTTCTGCTTTATAAATATATATATATAATTGTGAGCGAAGAGCTTTATTATATAGATTTTTAGTGCGAAACAATGTCCTAAATTCGGATGAAATTTTTTACTTTATTTAAAAAGTTCTTTTGACACTGAACAGTCAGTGGCATTGCATGTAATAAATATATTTATGTAAAGTAAAATTCTTTGTTAGGTTGGCTTTTATACACAAATAATAGTTTCCATGCAAAGCTGAGTTTCCAAACAAAAAGAAGTTCAAACCTTAACAACTGCTTCTAGTGCTATATGCGCCTGTTCCCGCACACGACGATCCGTGTCTGAGGCAAGTTTTGAGTAAACACTTGGCCAGAACGCGAGCACAGCGAGCATATCCTGCTCAGACGCTGATATACTGAGATCCAGGAATTCTTGAAGAGCTTTCAACTTGGTTGTTACGTCCTTTTTGTTCATTTTTCGCATAGCAAGCCTGAATATAAAAAGTAATTATTATTCAAATAATTTCACGGACAGCCGTAGTACATTTAAATTTCCGAGCCGGGTCAACCATTCCGTTACCAGCTTGTTCTTTACCTAGCTCTATGGACAGGACTAGCCGGTGCAACAAGGTTGACGCGGTCAGACTTTATGATTCATATAGGTTGAATTTACTTTTACTGAAGGGGCAGATATGCGTGATTTACTCCTAAAATCTGAAATCACCTTTTAAAAGCCCTTTTCGTGTTCATGAATATCTGTATTTCAGCTTAATTTAAGGAGTTTCTTTAAAAAAATCCCTCTGTTTATAGTCAACCCTAATCAACACATTGCTATAGTTGTAAATGTTACATTGTTACAAGCTTGAACTTTTTATTTTCTCAAAACAGAATTGCCCATCACCTCCACACCACACTACAATCTTTCTCTGATTTTTAAAAAGAAATTTCCACCCTGTAGAAAACTATACGGATTTTTTAGATTTTGGAATAAGGGGATTTAACCTGAAATCCGGAGGAACCCCGTCATCTGGTTGAAGGAGAGGAACAAACCCTGCCTCTGCTGTAGTTCCGAAACCTACAAACCCAGTGTTCTCCCCGAGCACTTTAGCACTTCTAAAAGTAATACTTGGATAAAAAGCGTGTTAAAGGGACTGTCTGCCCTGTGTATAGGATCTAGATCCGGATCCGTTGGATTTGCAAGATTTTGGCTTCTTGAATCAGGATCTGCAAAAATTTGCGGATCCAATGGGCAAAATACCATCCAAAACATGCTAAAAATGTACTTTTTGCTCTTAAAACACAAAGCTCAATTGTCTATTAACGATCGATTTTTAAAACTTCATAACCTCTGAATGTTTTAGCATAAAAATTAGCAAAAAAAAAGAGAAAAAATTCTGTTAAAGAAAACAGTAAATTTGAGGGAAATGCTTAATGTTTATGACCTGGATCTGGATCCAGGTCATTACAGATCCAGGGATTACAGGGCGGATAAAGATCCAGGGATTACAGGGCGGATAAAGATCCAGGGATTACAGGGCGGATAAAGATCCAGGGATTACAGAGCGGATAAAGATCCAGGGATTACAGGGCGGATAAAGATACAGGGATTACAGGGCGGATAAAGATCCAGGGATTACAGGGCGGATAAAGATCCAGGGATTACAGGGCGGATCCAGGATAAAAATCATTTTAAAGTGGCTGTCAACATATTTCAATGCCCTCTTGTTTCAAAATATCCAAAACGGTATCCTTTCGGTATCCTTTAACATCCAGAATCTTTTGAACGCACAGAATATTTTTTGTTATAGATATTAGGTTTCCGGTTTAAAGGAAATGTCTGATGTATTTCTTAATCTCTTCAAGAAAATAGTTTCAAAAATTTCATTAGGCTGACGACATACTTTTAAATGACCCTCCATTTTCTATTCCATATCACTATTCGGTATCTCTATAAGGAACTGTAAGCGTAACTTCAAGTAACCTTTAATGGAAAGATGGCAATGCCCACTTTTTACGACGTTATTCTAGTAAAAGCTTCGTCTGATCAAATATGAATTAGAAGACCATGTTAGACCAGCGCATTACATGCGTAAAAGGAACAATGGAGAAATTATCAGAATCTATCACTTTTCGAGTCAAGAAACCGAAAGTATATTTCACATCTTACACCAGATTAAGGTTTCTAGGGTTCTGTTGTAAACCGGGCATTGTCATCTCTACATGGAGGGTAGCTTAAAATTACGCTTGCAGTTGCTTTAATCCAGTGCTTAGGATCCGTTGGATCCGCAAGGTTTTGGCTTCTTGGATCCGCATATTTTTGCGGATCCGGATCCAAGGGGTAAAATATCAACTAAACTGCAAAAAAAACTTTTTTACTCCTGAACCGTAAATCTGAACTTTTGAAAAAAGAGAGATTATAACAATTTCCTCATTTCTGAATGGTTCATCAAGTTATAGGATAAAAATAAGCGAAAAACATAAAACAGAAAATTTGAAAATTATTTTTTGTTAAAAAAATTCAGTAAATCTTAAAAAATGACCTGTGCGGATCCAGGATTAGGATCCGCATCAAAATTAAATGGATCCTAAGCACTGCTTTAATCCTAAATTGAGTAGCGAACTTTGATTCTGCATTTACAGCATTAAAGCTGATAAAATACAAATCTAGAAAGTTTTCAATTTAATTTTTCTAACCTAGCACTGCTGGCGGCCTTGGTATTTCCCTTCGTTCTCTGCGCGTCATTTTTACCCATTTTGATTTGTGCACCTGTAATCACTAACTAATACACATTTTCGGAGAAAAAAATTGGTCAAAAAACTAAATAAATTAAGGAATATTTTTAAACGTACTTGGTCCGTCCTATTTATGATAACACGAATTAATTACATTTATTTTGTGTCAGTTCTGGGTTAGGTTAGGCATAGACATTTTCTAAGACGAGCGCTGCGGCCAGGATAGGGGTTAAGGCGCTGGACCACATGTCCAACTTTCACAATGTGTTATAAATGCATTAGATTAGACTTAATAGGATATATTAATTGGTAATTTCCTAGAGAACGATTTTAGGTTATCATTGGTCATGGTCTAGCCTGTCTTAGCCGCGGCGCTCGTCCCCTTAGCCTGTCCTAGCCGCAGCGCTCGGCCAAGAAATTGTCATAACCTAACCTACCCCTAAACTAATAAATAATAATAATTTTGCTGAAAACATGTACAAAATTGATAGGAAGGGGGCCGGGGGATACCAGGTTTCTAGAGAACGATTTTTGGACCCCCCCCCCTCCTATAAATTTTGAACGTACATGACCTAGATTTAAGCTATTTTGAACAAAAAATATTTATTTTGTATTATTTCAGAGTTAGGTTAGTGTAGGTTGGGACAACTTCTGGACTGAGCTCTGCGGCTAGGAGTCTTATGGGCCGATCGCTGCGGCCAGGATACACCTTCAATTTCAAATAGTTTCAACAAAGTTTGTATATATTTAAGGGTAGGTTAGGTTAAGACTCTTTCAGAGCAAGGCGCTGCGGCTAGGGGGCCGAGCTCTACGGCTAGGACAGGGTAGGGGGCCGAGCGCCGCGGCTAACATGTAGAAAATTGATAGGAGGGGGGGAGTCAAAAGTCGTATACTAGGAAATTACCAATAATTTCCGAATAGTTAGTAATTTGGTACATTATGTATTACGACGTATCAATGGCGAAATCAAATTCATATTAAATTTCATAATGGTACGAATGAATAATATATCTGCCAAAAAACCTAACGTGGTATAACTTATGTAATTTTTTTTGCTTTAATAATTACACTTTCCTCGACAGCAGCAGGTGGCGGGGGAGGGGGTACAAAACTCGTACTCTAGGACAGACCCACTAGATGTTTATTTCAAGGATACGAAATTCAGAAATCATCTATAAATCCTGAATTGTGATTGGTTGATATGAAGTATTTGGGATCGAATGCCCCGTTCAATTCCGATGATTTTTACAGGCGATATTTTGATGGAAACAGCTGTTCACAGATGTTCAAATATACCACAGCTGCTTATTCATAGCGATTTAAAATATTTTTTCTGTATTTCTTTAGGATTAATAATTAATATTATTATTAGTTTCTTGTTTGAAGTCCCCTTATTTCCCTGAAGTCTCCTAATTTCCCTGAAGATCCCTGATTTAAGTCCACTTATTTCCCTGAAGTCCCTTAAAATTTCCCTGAAGTCCCCCTTATTTCCCTGAAGTCCCCTAATTTCCCTGAAGTCCCCCTTATTTCCCTGAAGTTCCCTTATTTCCCTGAAGTCCCCTTATTTCCCTATAGTCCCCCATATTTCCCTGAAGTCCCAGATTTCCCTGAAGTCCCCTTATTTCCCTATAGTCCGCCTTATTTCCCTGAAGTCCCCTAATTTCCCTAAAGTCCCCCTTATTTCCCTGAAAAGTCCCCTTATTTCCCTGAAGTCCCCTTATTTCCCTGAAGTCCCCCTTATTTCCCTGAAGTCACCTAATTTCCCTAAAGTCCCCCTTATTTCCCTGAAGTCTCCTTATTTCCCTATCGTGACTCTAGTCCCCTTTATAGTTATGTATAGTTATGTTCATGTATCACCCCTTTTCCTTGTGCACAGTGGTCCAGGGATGAGCAAAACCCTCTATTTAAATCATCAGAATTTCGACTTTTTATTTTTTTAAAGTTTATATATATTTGTTAACCATTAATTTCAAAACCTCTATAAAATGTCGTCTTCTACTGAAATCTCCTGTCGGAGACAGCCAAACCAAATTTTCAGCCCGCAAATTCCATTGTCCTCCTCCGACGGAGCTTAAAATATTTTCGTTGTTGTGAAATCATTAAAGTTAAGCAAAATATTTTCATAAGAAGCATAAGTGAATTTCGTTAAATATTCAACTGTAATTTTTCAGAAGTTAAAAAAACGTATTTCAATACTGATCAACAAATAAGTCACCCCTTCTATCCTTAAATAATTCGTAAGATTTTTTCTACTATTAACATTCATTATAACATTGTACAATTAAACATGACCTATAATTTATGTTATTTTTTTAGGAAATAAAGATTTTGTTATCGAATTTCTGAGACGGGGTTACTCTGTTGTGTGTGTATTGTTCGGCCATCGGGAAAGAATTGTCTGGGGAAAATAAACACCCCTTTCTGAATCTTGACCGGCCTATTATCCGGATTTGTCTAGCGTGTTGCTGTTATCTGTCAACAATATTTTGGAAGAGGGAGGGTGAAAATTTAAATTTTTTAAATTTTTTCTTTTTTTAGAAGCTGTTTTATTAAAAAAATTGTAAATATCTAATAAAAATTCGGATTTTCCGCTTAGAGGTGTTTTCCCAAAAAAATGATCTAATGAAATGAAAATTTAAGGCAATAACTTTTTTTTACTAAACAAGTAACACAATAAAAAAAATCAGATTATCAATAAAAAAATTTCAGTTTTTTTTAAAGGGGGACCTAACTTTATATTTAAAAAGACGTTTTTTAGACCTATGCCAAAATGTTGGAATTGAAGTATAGAAATGGTAAGGAAAAAACTAAGCTGCACATACTTGCACATGAGGTGTCAAAAGCAATTTTACAGGTTGCCTAAAATATCAAAATTGAGAGGTTGGGTGATTTTTAATAATTATATATTTTTTCTTTCTTTAATACTCGCATTTTACACTATTGTAATGTTTACGATACAAAACAACTCACTTATTACAAATAATCTAAGGGGTGTACTGAAGGGGGGAGCATTGGGGCTAAGCCTCACTCCCCTTCCCGGCGTTGAGTCCCCAAGAAGAAACTAAAGTTGAAAGTTGATGATTCAGGCTATAGAAAACTTCAGAATAAGAAGATGACTTTTAGACTAAAGTTAGTCAGTGTGAACAGGCCCATTTCACTTAATTTAAATGATTTGATAAGTAAAGTATACTTAACTAAATATTTGCTCGCCAACAACATCAAATACACTTAGTATTCCTACAATGTTGTCTTCCTATTCCAAAGTTTTCTGGTTCTCACAGTATTAACTGTATTAACAATCTACCTATTGTAAAAATCTAATATACCGGGTCACCACCCATAAAAGATAAGAATTCAGAGATGATTCAGAATTTTTTTTAATTAATCACGACACCCGGCAACTAGATTTTAAAAAAAATTTCCAAATCATTGAAAAAGACATTTCAAGGTAATGTTCAAGGCAGAACAATGAAGACCAACGAGGTTAAAGTGTATAGAGTGATGATCCTTTACTAATTTTATAGGCCATAAACTATAACCGAGAGCGTACTGCATATTTGTTTATTATAAGTTGATTCTGGCCTAACAGCTGTAGAGAACTATTATACCCCATAATGAAGACTTAAAAAATTTGAATTGTCTTAATTCAGAAGTTTCAATTGTCGGATCTGTACAGTCTCATCTTTTGTGGGTAACCTTGTATAGTGTATAAGTTTCTATATCTAACAATATCTTATTCTATAATAAATAATCTATTTTCAATTCCTTCTACACCAAAATGCGTCAAGCTTTTCCCCTTCCCCTCCCCATAATCCTTTTTCTGTGATTTATTCCGAGAGTTATTAAAACTATGACAGATAAACCCCAATATTAAATATCAGTTTATTTAGATGTCTCATCATATATCACAATATTTACTATACACTATATATCTAACCCACATTACTCTATTAAATAATTAATATGATTAAGTGTTAAATCCTTGAGAATAAAGATGTGTGTGTTAACAAAGATGATTTTTTTTTTGTAAAAATGTTAGCCAGATGTTAGGAAGACAAATAGATGAATCAGGCTCATCAGGCAGCGCTGAGAGGGTTTGGAAGGGGCTTAATTTTTAATTTACTTAATATCCCCCCACCCCCCTGCAACTAGGAGAGTTATATTGCAAGGTCCAGTCATGATAACCAATGTAATTGTAAAGCTTTAATCATATACTGAATTCTGTATAGACCACCCCTGCGCTTAATAGGCTTAAGAATTGGAGTAGTTGCTTTACCACACTACTGACATGCCTGAAGTGAGAGCTCCCCTCTTAAGTCTAGAATCGGGGATGAATATGTTTAGACCATTATAGGCTAACACCTATTCAGAAATGAGATTGAATAACAACAATCAGTATGAGGATGTGCACTTTCTGCTGACTTTTGGTGAATCTAATCTTCTTGTATTTAAACAAGATAACTTTTTTTTTAACATTTACTGACAATTAATTTTCAATCTCCAAAGTTCCCTGTAGTCTACCCTCTATTCCTTGTAGACCCGTTAGTTCCCTGTAATCTACACTTATGTTCGCAGTAGTCTACCCTCAGTTCCCTGGTGGCCCCTTAGTTCTCGGTAGTCCATTTCTTCCCTGTATTTCTCTTAATTGCCAATAGTTCTTTATGCACCCCTTACTTCCCTATAGACTCAATGAATTCCCCATATTAGTCCCATCAGTTTATATGTACAATACTTATTTTCAGTTAATGTTTGTCCTCTTTTAGATAATTGTATAGTCCCTTTTTCTCTAGTCTCCCATTTACATCACTATAGTTCCAATAACCCCCTCCGTTTCTCCCTTTTTCCTCTCAGGTCTCAGTAGTCTGTTTAGTATGCTGAAATGGCTGATTCCTAATTAAGCTGAAGCTACAACATATATTTTTATTCGATAGGCACTGATATACAATATACATTACAGCTATATATGTATATACTTTTATATAGATATATGTTATACTTAATTTACAAACTGTTTTAACATATATTACTCAGATGGAAAAGTAAAATTTCTTGAATTTTTAGAAGTTTTAAGTTAAATGAATGTCTGGACTATTACTGTTAAATAAAAAAATACAGGAAAAGCAGAGAAAAATATTTCAGTTCAATTTGGGTATCACAGTTTGGCCAGCTATAGTGACCTTTTCCCTTTTGATAATTCCTATACTTTCAAAATGTGTATTATACAATTACATTTGTTGATATTAACAGAGGTGTTTTTAGCTGATAAATATTAGTAATATTCACAGCTCACAGAATATATATATTTACAATTTTAATACAATTTTCTGTTTATATTTAACAAATATATTTTCACTTAAATATTGCACTTTTACCAACATCATTAAGTCAAAGTAACTGATTACTTGCCTCAAACTCTAATTTTCTTTTCTTTATAACTGTGCAACCTTTGATATTACAAATTCTGACATATCAAAGGTTTTAACCATCAGGTTGCAAAGATATAGGGATTCGAGTTGGAAGCTATTAGAAGTTTCATAACCTATTATCAAAGATATATTGTATAATGATCCATTTAGAATTAAAAGAAATTAAAAGAAGATGAAATTGAGTATTTGTTTTGTTTTAGAATATTTTTCTGCTAATTCCAAGGATTTTATTTACAATGATCAATAAATCTTATTGAGTATTATTTATAGTTTAAATTATCTAACTTTTAATCCAGAAAGTGTTTAAGTTCAATAGCATTATGCAATTTTGAAACGATCAGCGTTTTATATTTTCTACAGTTCGTTGAACAACTTGAAATCAAAATAAATTAGATTGCTGAAAACGTCAAAAACTGTCAAATAATTGACGTGATGTTTTTTGATTTGATATTATTTCGTTGACTTTTAAGTGCTTCAGATTTGTATTTTTTTTAAATAACTTTCGATGTAATACATGCATTATGATTGTTAACTTGAGAACATTGAGAACTTAAGACATTTTTGTGTAAAATTATATTTTTTTTCAAATTGCAGTTCACGCAGTACATAGAAAAATTTAAACAAGAAAAATTACTTGATTTCGAAATGAAGTTAAACGAAGTAAAATGTTTGGTTAAGTTACATTTGTGAAAAATCTTGTGCAGGATATAGATTCGTTCTTCCAGGATATAGATAATGAAAACTTTTATAATTATTATTTTGGTAAGGATACAAGGATAAAGTATCAGGTTGGGATACAATGATTAACCTCATTTGGATACATTTTCTCTGACTTTCCATTTTTTGAGTGGCACGGCCAATCCACAACGGTACCTTAAAAGTTTTGTCTGATAAAGTATAAATCAGATATCCATATTTTTGTTTTTGATAACTGACTATTATCGGCCATACTCCTCTTAATAATGTCAGGATATCATGTTCAGGATATAATGTTCAAGATATCATGTGCAGGATAACATGTTCAGGATATCATATTTAGGATATCCTGTTCAAGATATAATGTTCAGGATATAATGTTCCGGATATAATGTTCGGGATGTAATGTTCAGGATAAAATGTTCAGGATATAATGTTCAGGATATATTCTGGCTAAACAGTTCAGAATATTCAGTAGATTCAGATATAATGTTTAAATGAACTATGAAAAAGTTGTGTTCAGGAAAATATAAGGGACCAAGAAATGTATTAAACTAAATTTGAAGATTTTGTTTTGGGTTGAAGGAAAACACATTATATCAAACACGGATATACTCCTCTACAAAATTATACCGTTATTAGTAAAATATTGGATAACGATACATCAATTGTTGAAAATCCAGACTACACCGAGCACCCAATACAACACAGATACGGAAGTTGACAGTTTGTGCAATTAAAAAGGCTAGTTCGTGCTGAGGTGAGTATTTAGGTTTCATACACTAACTTAGCAGGTAGAAAGGTTTAAGTTCTCTCAAGACTATTACGGATCTTTTGACTTTTATTGTGCTGTTCATTCTGGTTGCCAGATTATCCTTGGAATATTTAATTATTTATTTTTGGAATCTTCAAATAATTATTTAAGTCTCCAGATTATAATTAAAGCATCCAATTATTTCATTGGAGTCTCCAAATTATTATTAAGGTTTTCTGATATCATTGGAGACTTCAGATTATCATTGGAGACTTCAGATTATCATTGGAGTCTTCAATATTATCATTGGAAGTTCCAGATTAACATTGGATTTTCCAGATTATCATTGGATACTCTAAATTATTTTTGGAATCTTCAGATTATTATTAGAGTCTTCCTATTATCATTGGAGTCCTATTATTAAAATAAAGACTTAAGATTATCATTGAAGGCTACAGATTATCATTGGATATCAAGATTATCATTGGAAATTCCAGATTATCATTGGAGACTAAAGATTATCATTGGAGACTCAAGATTATCATAAAGACTTCAGATTATTATTGGAGGCTGCAGATTATTTCCAAGACTCCAGGTTATCATTGGAGTCTGCAGATATCATCAGAGACTCCAGATTATCATTGACAATTCCAGATTTTAAGTATCGACTCCAGATTAATACTTGATATTCCAGACTGTAATTGGAGACTCCATATATCTTGAGAGTGACAAGACGATGTTGAAAGTCTTAAACTTGCCATTTGATGTTCAGATTATTCTATGAGTCTAAGCATATTCTTTGAGTCGTCGATCAGACCTTTATGTTTCTAATTCAAGATTCAAAAGATTAATTTTAAGGATTTGAACTTTCAGATGTGTTATCTAGGTTTGTGTTAAAGTATATAGATCTCTGGGTAGACCTAGGATACTGCAAGCTGTCTAACTATATCCTGCCAAACCTCTCCTCCCTCCTCCATCTCCTGCCCTTGCTCAGGAGCAAACTGTTGTCGTGAGGGGTGAGAGGATCCACCGGAGATGTGTGGTGAGGAGTTGTGGTGTTGGGGTTGTTGGCCGAACGACTGGTGTTGATTGAGTTGGTAGGTTGAGTTCTCATGGTTGGCGGAGATCTGCTGGGAGTGGGTCCCAGAGTTGGAGGAGGAGGAGTGAAGGTTGGGGGACGAGGTGTGCTGGTTCTGTGAGGGTTGAAGGTTGGGGAATGATGACTGGTTCTGGTTTGAAGATTGAAACTGACTCGCAAACGAAGCACAAACATTTTCACAAGGACCTGACATGGAACTTCTTCTAGTCTCCGACTGGTACTGTATCCCGAGATTGAGATGATTTGAGAATAGGGTTGGTTGGGCGGAGTGTGGGCGGGGCAGAAGGACAGGTGAGAGGGTGTGGCAGGGCTCCCCAGTCTGTTGTTGATTCCCCGCCTCCTGCCAGGCGGGGGCGGACCGCTAGCTGTTCCAATTCTCGGAGAGTCTCATCCTCTTCTGGATCGGGCTCCCCTCGTAGTCTGATCCATGCTGAACCTGGTGAATATGTATCTGGGGAGGAGCAGGAGATACTCCTCGTCCCGGAGATCGAACGGTCAAAGAGTCACCTGAACAAAAAAACCTTTATCTATTTTCTAGTTTCAAATTTTAAAGGGACTGTCATTGTAATTTCAAGGAAGTCTTTAATTTAAAAGATTAATGTCCGATTCTAAAAAGTACTGAATAATATGTAAATTTATTACTTTGTTTCTCTAATGCTTTTTCAGTAAACCGCAGTTGAAAATAATCAATTTTCAGAGATAAAAGGAAACAAGGAGAAATCCTTCGTTTTCGACGAGACAATAGAAATTGCATGGCGGTAACATCTATCTTTCTATCTATCTCATCATCCAATTAGATATGAATCTTTATATCGGGGCTAAACAGTAAATGGAAATATTTACTTCTACTGAAACTATAGTATGGAAAGATATAAAATTCTTTAGCAATTAACATTACAACGGAGAATATAAAAAATAAGACAAAAATAAAGGACGAGGGCTCGTTAGACATTTTTTCTTAACAGATTTTAAATAAGACGTAGATAAATATATATTTGCAAGTGCGCCATAGAAATCTGAAATTGAGAAAGTTTAAAATTAATTGCAAAAAAAAAATTCTGATTTAAAATCCGATTCAAGGAATAAGATTAAGTAAGACTTTGGCGGAACAAATCATAAAGATAAATGTGAATTAATATATTAATTCTAATCTATACATCATCAAATGATTCAATTAATTTCAGATTAATACATGTTTGATTCTAGTTCAATGAGTAATTAATACATCAAACATGATGTTACATACATCGACGTATTATATGATACATCGTTTTTTTAGACTAAACTTTTAGGGCACTTCGCGCCAGATGCACATCTTCTATTTAAGCTTTTAATTGTGGCTTTATATGTGGGCGGCTTTCACTTTGAGCATCTTATCTTTGTACAATATAAAAAAAATAAAAAGTTTGCGGATTTCATGAAATTTTTTCGCGCATTTTCAAAATTTTACAAAAAAAAAAAAAAACAAGTTTTTGAAATTTTGAACCTTCCCTGGGGTCACGTGATATCCGACACAAAGTTTGGTCCCGATCAGTTCAGCCGTTTTGACGTTTATTGGATACAAACAAACAGACAGATAGACAAACAAACAGACACCCAGACAAGCTAAATTTATATATATAGATTTTAGGAATCCGTCATTGATATAAAAAATCTTAATTTGTGGGTCAAATTTTAGCATGTGTTTAATAAGAAAACTATATTTCAATTAAAAAGAGAAAGAAGGTTATTTTTTCATTTATATTAAAAAAACATTTATTCACACATTGTAGAGAATTCGTCAGATGAATGAAATTTTGAATCTTGCATATTTGTCAAATATATGTAGTTTTGTTATAAAAAATATTATGTCAAGGCCAGATTCTTTTTAATAAAAGAAAACTTGACAAAAATTGTTATCATTTTTCCACCCACACAAAACAATACATAAAAACTTTATCCAAAAAATTTGATATTTGTATTCTATATTTTTTTTTGTAATCAGAAATTACTAGGAATGCAACAAAACAAAACAAGCTCATTAAGATTTCAGTCACTTTTAAAAGTTTTTATCCTAAACTAATGGATTTATTTTTCTCTTGTGATAAATTTGTTGCTATGCAAAAGATTTCTAGGTTTAGTGTTTTCTCAAAACAAAAACAGGGTTTTGGTCCTTTCATAATATTTTCTTGTTGAAGCTCAGTCCCCCCCTCTTTAGTAGTTATTATTCTTTAATATGAGTTTAACATTTTTATTTGCAAAGTTTGAAAGAGGAATTGAGTCTTCGTCACAAACTCTTATTTTACAATCCTTATATCTGTCGTAGAGCTTAAATATTTCAAACTATGAATTCCGATAGATTAAATAATATAAGTTTGAAATATCAAAGGTTTCCACCATCAAGTTGTAAAGAAATACGGATTAGAAAATTTGAGTTTGTGGCAAAGACTCAATTGCTTTAGGGTCCAATCATTGTTCTTTAAACCATTTTAACATTGTATATATATATATATATGGG